ATTACAGAAAGAATTAAAAACTGCATTAAAATTCATTTCAAACTATCTAAAAATTCATGAAAAGAAAATGAAACCTAATAGTTTTTGAATAAATAAAATACGAACACTTGTAGAATTTTTTTTATAGATATTAGAAAATATACTATATTCATTGCCTGTCTTATTGTTGCTGATATTTAAAATTTATTAACAAATAATAAATGTCGCTGAAGAAGGGAAAAGGATTACAATGAGGAAAAGCAAAACACAATAAACGGTTACGATATTCTTATCAATTAAATTAATAAATTTAAAAGGCTTAAAACTGATTATAGTAAGTGACTACAGCTGACAATCTGTTACAAAGTTTGAAAAAGGATAGTACGATTTAAAATGGAAATTATTTTCACAAAATGGACCCTGTAATCAAAAATTCCCGTTTATTAACACATCAAATTATATTATAAAATTGAGGTGCATAAATATACTTAAGAGTTCTTAATAAGAAGTACTTACAGGATTTACTATTGTACACCCATGATGAACTCCTTGATAGGCATCTGATTTGTCGCCAATAATAACCACGTCAGGTAATGGATATAAGCGTAAAGTGTAATCGTAATCCCAATAGACCGGAAGAGAATTAAGCGACATAGGACTTAAGTGACCTTGACTAATAATCGTTTTAATTATCTAAGGATAATTGAAATAAAAAGTTACATATGTTTGTATAATTTATAAAAGAAAATTATTTAAAATAAAATGATACATACGCTTTCGGAAACGTTTTCTTTTTTTGGTTTGTGTACTGTTCCCTGCATTAATTTTGCTAAAATGTCCCCTCTGAAAATCACTATCTCTCTTGTACAGTACTGTATTCTGCACGGGTTTGTGGTAAACACAGCTTTTGGCAAATATTTTTTAAGTTCGTCAGTTACAAATGATGGTAATGGAAACCTTAAAAAGAATATAAGTTAGTTAACAATTTTAACTTAAAGAAATATAATTACTATTCAAATAATCAAAATTATATTATTTAAATTAGTTATATATTATGCATTAAAAGGTAATTAATAGCGTACTAGAGTATATTACTTCAAATCAGTGTTTATTTCTTTTCTAACTTTTAAAAAAAGTTCCCAAAGACTACTATTTCCTACCCACTTTTAATTATAAAGATCAGAAACATATTTTTGTTAAAAATAATAGGATAAAACGTAATTGCCAGGCAAGTATGGTGAAATATCGAGTTTTATATTATTGCTTGTAATTAATAATTCCACCCAATATTACGATTAGTCCTTTTCACTGTAAAAACATTAATTTACAATAATAAAAAATAGTGAACAAATTAACTCAAAGAAAATGCCACTTAGGGAATACAATTTTAATATACACGAAGAAAATCTTATTTTGGCATGCAATAAAAACAAATCATTTAATAAGCTAAAAAACGTGTAAATTTTTTTTTTTTCGATTATTCTGCAGAATATATACGGAAACTGGTCAAGTAATTTCTTTTAAGAATTCTATCTTTTTTGTTGAAAAATGGTTTCTTATTGAGAGAAATGAATGCAATTATTACTTACAATAAGAAATAAAAAACAGAAAAATCATGAAACTATTTTGGTATATACCAAAGGATTCTATAGTGAAAAACTTGCCTTGGAATAATATGAGATGTACTTGGATCCTCTAGGCCTGGTACAAATATAAAATGACTATTATTGGTTAAACCTTGGTAACGCCTTGCTAATTCTCCAAATTGCTTAAAATGCTTTTTTAAATTATCTAATTTTTCAGAACCCAAAGAGTCAGTCATAAAATTTCCCATGAAGATAAAACAAACAGGAGGATTCCCTTCCATGCCATTAAAGAGTACTTCCAATTTATTAAAAACCTTAAATATTCCGTTACACAAACAAATTAAGAAATTGACAATAAATAAAATCAACTTACAGAAAGATGATCAAGCCAAAGGTCAGAAAATATTAAAAATTCACCATATTTGTCCTGTTGTAGATGTTGTTTAAGTCTTAAAGAATCTCTCAAAGGTGTTAATGAACTTCCACCAAAATAATTAAGATTACCAAATGGTATTCTGCAATATTAAATATAGTATAAATACAAAACAGTTTTAAAAAATAAGCAAAACAGCTAAAATATTAAAGACATAATAGGTTATTATTTTACCTTGAATCCTTATAATCCTCTCCTGGAGGTAAGATGATAGTAGCTACTTGTAAAATTTTATCTTCATATTCACCATTTACCAAAACAAAGCAGTTTTCAACAAAAAAACCTTTATCATAACTGTAAATAAAAATTAAAGACAATTACTTAAAAATAATTTGTCCATACCATCTTAGCTTACTTTGCATATGTTAGATCTAGCTGAACTTTACCAGATGGGTCTTCTAAGTAATATTTTCCTTCTGAAACTAGCAATAGAGCCCCCAAGATAAGTGTATTTTCAAGAGTTACTTGTGTAGTAGTCAATAGATAATCAACTGTTTGAAGAACAATTACATTGTCGTTATCATTTAATATTCTTTTGAAATTTCGCTTTGTTCTCTGGTAAACTGTGTTATATCTTTCAATGAATAATTGAGACTTAGAGGAAGCATCTGGTAAGAGTTTTGGCTTTTTCATATTTGGTATAAATATTTTTCTGTCAGAATCGTACATGAAATTAGGAAAATCAAATGCAGAAATTACAGAAAAAATTGTTTCGTGTCTATCATAACCAGCATGAAGACAAACCTACAAAAAGAACGATATTTATATAAAAATCTTATCACGTAGACATGACGATTTGCCAGTTATGTTTTACCTCGACAGCTTGTAATATGTTTTCTTTTTCAATGCTTTTGTCTGAAAGGCACTGTTCTTCTAAACTTGTACAAATATTCTTCAAATATGTATCAAATGTTTGTTTATTTTGAAGATCAATATGTTCTTCTAATAGTTTTTCAACTATTACTTTGCAAAGTTCACTGAAAAAAGAATTGTATGTTTTGAATTTTTAAAATATTATCAATAGTTCACCTGCGAACTATAAAACCGCTTAACTTTAAAGCATTTTGTAGTTTCTTTTTGATTATATCCATCATAAATGGCACAATTTTTTAATGTAGCTGTTTTTTATTATCCTTATATTGTAAATAATTTGTATGGTAAATAATCATTGATAACCTTAATCAAACTGCATAGCACGGCACTTAATTTCGCGCCAGAAATTATGTCATAGTAATGTCTTAATCTGTAGTAATGTCCATGTAATGTCTAATGTCTATGTGATGTAATGATAATGCCCAAGAAAATTATAATTGGAGCAAAAATTTAACGAAAAGCCAATGAGTCTAAAAAGTATCATCACAAATAAAGAAAATAAGACGCGATTGTACGCAGCGTGATGAACGACCGTGCATCAATTTTAACTTAGAGTATGTGTGCTCTAAAAGGGATCAATCAGTATTTTCGGCATAGATTTTAAGTTGTTAAACACAAACGTAGTGTTAAACAAAAACATCTTGTCTACATTGTAAAAGGGATGCGCACTACTTTATTGCGCAGCGTACAAACTAGCACAACTTGGGCGACGCTATGGAGTATTTTCTTTGTTACAAGTAGCAGAGTAAAAAATGGTAGAATTTATGTAGTAGAAGTAAGCGAAACGTGTCCACTTCTGCCACAACTTTTGTGTATACATGTACCCCTGTCAATTATTATTAAAATGTAGCGCACTGTATACAATAAATAGATGTGGCACAAAAAAGCACAAATTGCAGCTTGCAAAATGACAAGTTTTTAATGTCCTAATTTTACGTAACAGGTATTATATACAGTTTAACGATTTCTTTTGCGTTTGTTGCTGCAGTAATTTGTAAAATGTCATCAGCATGTCATCAGCGAAAATAAAATGACTGTATTTCGGGGTTGACAAAATAATTTATTTGAGTTTCGAATAATCATGTTTTGATTAAAACCATTTCACCTTTTTAATGTAGTTTAATAAATTATTCGTGAAGTTTTGATGGGATAATATAATTCTCTTGTGCTTCANTTAAATTTAAAAATTAATTCATTTTCCTGATTGATAAAATTGAATATATTATATTAGAAATTAATTTAAATCAGTATCTATCCATCATATTAATCAAATTTTATGCAAATAATTTTGCAGTTAAAGTTCATTAATATAGCTATTTAAATTGAATTGTAAGTTTCTATCTTAATTTAAGTAAGTACTACGTAAAAACTAAAAACAACCTTAATTTGAGAAATTAAAAGCTTGTTAAATTACATGTCCTGCAAATAACTCAACGGTATTTTAATTAAATAGGTTAAATATTTGAATGTATACGTCAGAATTAAATAGAAATGAAAGGCTTTCACTTTGCATGACTACAGAAAAGGCGTTTTTATAATTTGGTACCAGAAGTAGGATGAAATTTTTATGTTTATGATTCAAAATAGTAAGTTTGACTAGAAATAAGGGTCTTGTAGTTGATTTTAGATCAATGATTTGAAAAAATGGAAGACCAAGGACCAGAAGTTTCGTTCATTTTTCAGTTTGGATTAATTCGAGATATTGTAACAGTGCCTCAGACAACACTTAACTTAAAAACTTTGAAAGATTTAGCATGTGACTTTATTAATAGCAAGGTAAAATGCTGCTCCAATTTGTTGTAATTCTGTTATTTATAAGTATCTATTTAAATTGTAGGTTCCTGATCATGGAATTAATAAATTAGAAGATCGTTTGCTTCTTTTCCGTCATGAATACAATTCTAATAACATTTTGCAATTCGTCAATTCTGCATCTGAAATAACTGATGAAACACTAGTAGAAATTATTCTTTCTGGCAGATGTAATATACATGAAATAATTGTTACCTTTTTATTTATGTGGAATATTTTTTAGCAAATCCCATTCCGGATGTCTCAGTGGTTAGGCCTCATGCATTATCAGTGCATTCATATAAAACTCCCACTTTTTGTGATTTTTGTGGTGAAATGTTGTTTGGTCTTGTTAGGCAAGGATTAAAATGCGATGGTAAGTTTATAACATTCTGTGTTGTTTATTTTGTCAATTTGTTCTTTAAATGGAAAACATCCTTATGCTTTCTGTTCCTGCAGGTTGTGGCCTAAACTATCATAAGCGTTGTGTTGTAAAAGTTCCAAACAATTGTTCATATGTTCTTCTGGCTCAGAACAAATCTGTTGGTGATAAACCTCAGAGGTGGCGTTCTGACACTCTTCAAGTGCCGCGAAGTCCCTCTGGTGGTTCAAATTCATCTCTGACTTCTGCAAATTCAAATAACACCGAAGATAATACTTTGGTAAGAATTGCTAACTTTTTTGGGGCTAATGTGAATATTAAAGATTGAAAATGACATATTTCACATAGATTTCAGTATTAACATGATATTTTTTTGTTATTAGAATGAGTGTAGATAGTTTAATTAAACATAAACAGTTAGCATTTTTAATAATTGACGCTGGCTTTAAATATTCCGTCCATTTTTTTAAAATATATATTTTAAAGGTTGTATGTAATGTGGTAATGGCATTAAGTTTAAGATTTTTATGGCTACTACATTTTTATTTGTATTTTTAGAAATGTATTTTGTATTTTGTTATGTAATAGATGTTTTTGCAGTAAATTATGTTTTTTTATTTCATCATAGTTGTTGCTTTTTTCGTTGCAAAATTTAATTTAACAAATGCCTAACTTAGTTGTATCTTTTTGCTAGTGAATTAAGTTACAAAAAATATTTCATACCTGTAGAAAAGTTTTAACAAGATTCTTTAAAATTGTTTGTGCAGTGAAAGAANAGAGTATATTACTTCAAATCAGTGTTTATTTCTTTTCTAACTTTTAAAAAAAGTTCCCAAAGACTACTATTTCCTACCCACTTTTAATTATAAAGATCAGAAACATATTTTTGTTAAAAATAATAGGATAAAACGTAATTGCCAGGCAAGTATGGTGAAATATCGAGTTTTATATTATTGCTTGTAATTAATAATTCCACCCAATATTACGATTAGTCCTTTTCACTGTAAAAACATTAATTTACAATAATAAAAAATAGTGAACAAATTAACTCAAAGAAAATGCCACTTAGGGAATACAATTTTAATATATATTGCCGCTAAATGTTTAAGCTAAAATTTTAAATACCTATTCTTAACTTGATGTATCTGTTGTAAGTTTGTAAAACGCTATTGGTATATTCTCATATCTAATCAAGAATATCTTTTCTATTTTTACAATTTTAGTGCCACAATGCTTCGTCTTCGCTAGGAAGTAACCGTTCGATTGTGGTGGATAAGGGGATAAGTGACCGAGTTCGAATACCTCACACTTTTGTCTTACACAATTATACACGTCCAACTGTATGCCAGTACTGTAAAAAATTGCTGAAAGGCCTATTTAAACAGGGGATGCAATGCAAAGATTGTGGCTGTAATGCTCATAAGAAATGTTTAGATAAAATCCCCAAAGATTGTACCGGGGAACCTTTAAAAGTTACTTCCGGTAAGTACAGACGTATATTAGTTAACTAATACAGTAAAATCTAGGATTAATTCGCAGGAATATAATTCACTTTGGAAATCAGAAATGTGTTTGTATTCCAAACGATTTGTAAAGTAAAGGAATTTTAAGCGATTTCGTTTACAATCCAAAAATATTTACCTGTAGATACAGCAGACATTTGATAACAACAGTTGTTCACTTATCGGTTTTACTCACGTTAACGAATAAATATATATACGAGTATAAAACACTCATACATTCTCATCAAAGGACGGCAGCTAATGCATAAAACCGTAATGAAATACGATTTTTTGTCAAAGAAATCAGAAATTTTTGAAGATTTTTTTATTTTTTGGAAATGGGTTTTCTCTTACTATTTTTAGCAATTACTAGAATCTCTTGTGCCTACTGGGTTTCTACATTTAAAGCGTCTATCTAACAAATTTTAAACAAGTTTATTCTATGCTTCATCACTAATAAACTCAATATCATCTTCAAATTTATTATTACACTTATTCCACTCTGAAACATTGAAATAACATTTTTAAGACCAATGAACATTCGTTTCTATAAGTGAATGTGCATAATAGAGTGAAATAGTTCAAATTTACTTGTTAAATACTAAATTATTTATTTGTAAACCAATGTATTACTCATTTAGAAAAATAATTATGCTGTAAATATGAATTTTCAGGTAATTTCGATTATGCCGAGAGTTCTGCAAGCAGTGATAGTCATGTAAATACTTTGGCAGAAGAAGATAGCGATACCGAAAAATTCACTCCTGTTCCTCATCATTATTCTAATGGTGCTGCTACAACATATATTGATGTGATTCCTGTCCACGATGATGATAACGACTCGAATCCATCCAGGTAAAATTACAACTTATTTAGCCTTGAGAGATAAATAATAACAGCTTAATTTTTATTATTTAATTCCAAACTTTTCGTTTTCATTACGTTTTTGTTGTCCTTGTAAGGTGAAACCACTGTCAAGAATTTGATATATTAAATAGTGGAAGTGAAGCTGGAAAACTATTCATCTCTTTTATAGTGAATTTCCGTAAAATCAAAGCAGAACTTTTAATATAGTTATCAGGCGCGTGTACAACTTAAATCTTCAAATATTGAAAGTAAATCACTATTAAATCATGTTACAGTTATAGATTCAAAAAGTCTGGTAGTTGCATTTATATGCTGAAAGCGGAGGTAAAATATTTGAAATCGTTTATTAAATTTAAAAATTAATTCATTTTCCTGATTGATAAAATTGAATATATTATATTAGAAATTAATTTAAATCAGTATCTATCCATCATATTAATCAAATTTTATGCAAATAATTTTGCAGTTAAAGTTCATTAATATAGCTATTTAAATTGAATTGTAAGTTTCTATCTTAATACCTTAACTAATATTACCTCTAGAATCTTCTTTCCCCTGTATACATGCCTGATGGTTAGTTAAGCAAGTGAGTTTCGAACAGAACAATAAAAAAAAAATAACAATATAAAATGAGAAAATGAAATAAGTGTTATAGTGCTTTTACATTTCAGTTCTTCCTCTTCACCGAGTGCCAACATTCCATTACAACGAATTGTACAATCAGTAAAACATACAAAACGTAGAGGATCTAAAGTGATAAAGGAAGGGTGGTTGGTTCATTTTACAAATAAAGATAAAACGGTTGGTGTTGTAGTATGATATAATTATTATTTATTTTGTATTAAAATATAATCGTTTCAGGTTCGTCGTCATTTTTGGAGACTTGATAGTAAAGCTGTTACACTCTTTCAGTCTGAACAGGGCTCAAAATACTACAAAGAAATTCCGCTTGCAGATATCATTGCTATAGACACAGCTAGAATTAAACAAGGGGGTACTTATATACGATATCATTAGTAAGTTTGTACGTATTGTCTGTACTTATGGAAAATATTTTTGTTAGGTATAATGCATTGCTTCGAAATCAGGACACCGAACGTTGATTACTTCGTGGGACAAGATCTATTATGCGATTTTCAGACTGACAAGACAGTTAATTTACCTCCTCCTGATAGTGGTATCGGGGCTTATTTAGCAAAAAGTTGGGAAACTGCAATAAGACAAGCCCTACTTCCTGTTACAGCAAATTTAAGTAAGTATTGAAAAGTTTAGAATTCAATGTTTTACAACTTTATTTTAAGGAACAGAACCTTCTACAGACAGTGAAGAACAAGTTGCAGACATGAATCAGTTGTACCAAATCTATCCTGACGAAGTACTTGGCTCTGGTCAATTTGGTATCGTTTACGGTGGAGTTCATAGGCGGACAAGTCGACCTGTTGCTATTAAGGTATTTTTATTCAGTTAAATAAACTATGTATAACTAAGAGAAAATAAATAACGGAGTGATCATTTTGATAATTCACGGGCAACATTGGCTTTGGAAATTACTGTACATATAGACGGGCAATCAAACCATAAGTTAAGCTTAGTGTGAATTGATTTGAATTGTACCCTCAAGTTACTGCTAGAAACTTACCTTTATGTATTTTTTTTAAAATATTTTTACGTTATATATGTAGAAATCAGATGGTAGAAGTGTTACTTAAAAAGTAATTTTTTTATTCTTATATTATAATCCATTAATTTATTAGGTAATAGATAAGCTGAGATTTCCAACAAAACAAGAAGCTCAATTAAAAAACGAAGTGTCCATTTTGCAAAATTTGTCTCATCTAGGGGTTGTTAACTTAGAAAGAATGTTTGAAACGCCTGAAAGAATTTTTGTTGTAATGGAAAAGTTAAAAGGTGATATGTTAGAGATGATTCTTTCTCACGAAAAGGGACGTTTAGACGAAAGGGTCACGAAGTTCCTTATAACACAGGTAATTATGTAAAAATTTCTTAAATGTAAACAAACAAAGAAAATTCCAGTTTTATGTGCTGTTTTTTTGGCATTTATTGAATGAGTTTTTTTTGTAGATTCTGGTAGCTTTAAAACATTTACATAGTAAAAATATAGTGCATTGCGATCTCAAACCAGAAAATGTACTACTAAGTTCAAATGCTGAATATCCTCAAGTCAAGCTGTGTGATTTTGGTTTTGCTAGAATTATAGGAGAAAAGTCGTTCCGCAGATCTGTTGTCGGGACACCAGCATATTTAGGTATTTTTACTATATATATATATATATATATACATACAGTAATTACACGTCCCATTTCAATATAAATTATTAATATTTAAAATCTGAAGTAAGAAATTAATTAAATTATAAATTACTGAATTTCCCCGTTTTCTTTTGTAATCAATAAAAAAAATATTGTGTTTAAAAAATCATTATACTTATCAAGAAGCTTAACAATAGAAAATAAAAACCGACTTCAAAACTTTGCCTATATCACAAATTTAAACTAAAATGTTCAAATACAAACATCATTCTCTAATTTTCCACACTTACGACACTTAGAGGTGGAATATTTTCTATAAATTCAAGAGGAATTACCTTTGATACAGAATCTGTTCAATAAAATTACACAAAAATACACAAACAAAACTAGTCGAAATGTTTTTTGAAGTCGGTTGAAAAATAAAATTGGACAAATACAAAAACGTAAAAAATAAAAGTACAAATTAGAAACTAATGAAATGATCACAAATTAAGTGCAATAATATCATTAATTTATTGTACTTACAGCACCGGAAGTTCTGCGTAACAAAGGTTACAATAGATCCCTCGATATGTGGAGTGTTGGAGTTATAATTTACGTAAGTTTAAGTGGTACATTTCCATTCAATGAAGACGAAGACATTAACGAACAAATTCAAAATGCTGCTTTTATGTATCCTCCAAATCCATGGAAAGAAATATCTTCCGATGGTAAGCTTGTAACTTAAATAGAAGAAAAGTAATCATTTTTGAAAAAATTAAAAATAGTGTGAAGAAAAATTGAGAATAGTGAATGTAACAATATTTTAAATTTTTTAAAGTAATTAAACAGGTACTTTATAAAATTGTTATAATAGATTGGTTTGCGATTTTATTGTAATTTTCAAAAATAACTAATATTTGTAAGAGTTCGAAGGGTTAGCTGTTTATTTTTCAATTATTTCAGCTATCGATCTTATAAATAATTTGCTGCAAGTGAAGCAGAGAAAAAGATATACTGTCGATAAATCTCTTCAGCACATATGGTTGCAGGTTAGTTAAAAGTTTAAATTGTGTACATTATTATTACTATTCCGCTTTTCAAAGGATTACGAGACATGGTGCGATCTTCGAACATTAGAGAAGCAACTTAATGTAAGATATCTGACTCACGAATCAGACGATGCTCGTTGGGAACGTTACCAGACTAATCGACAATGACCTGATAGTGGTTGGCTGCACAACATGAAAAAGTGCCTCCAGGGTCTTAAAATCTAAGACCGTTCAAATCTCCCGTTTTCACTTTATCTCGTAAATGTTTTTTCGTCACTGTAAGTGTACTAAACGAGCTCATATTTTCAACACCATACATAAACACAACTCATGACTATAATTACATTGACTAGGTATTTACTGACAGCAGAAGACGAACAGCTGTTTTCTTATTTTCAAAAACGTGATTATAATCATTTCAATTAACGTACTGGCTGCTAAAAATTTTTAATTAGTACCGTTTATTTAATTGTAGTTTAAGTTTTACAAACAACGCTTGCTTTTTTTCATATTATTGAAATAGCAATAACAAGCTAATTTAAAAATGTTTTATTTTGACTTTAAAGCAATTTAAAGATAGGCGTTTATTTTATTTAAAATGTAATTACTTAAAAAAGAATCTTTGCATTTCTTCACATATTATTGTCACATTTTTATTCTATGACACGTTGCATTTGAAACTAATTTTACTTATCTGTTTCCTACTATATAATTATATACTGTATTTATTTTTTATCTCTTTACATTTATTATTAGAAATTCGATTTTAATAAGCAGAAAACGATGTATAGTTGTAGCACGATCTGTGATTTACGTTTTCATAAAGCAACCTAAAATAAGTTGCTTTTATTAAAGAAATCTCGTTTTTGTCGTTGTTATCTTCCGTTTTTCTATTATGCTTTTTATATACAATATGTATTTTACAAAGTTTATTTTTGTATACTGTACTGATGATTAATTATAAGCGACTTACGTACAGGTTTATCAAGTGT